TGTAGAGGCAGTAAGTTTAAGTGAGTTTAATAAAAGGTCTTAATAATTATGAATGATAAGGGCTGGATTTAAGATTTTTTAAATTATTTTGAATTAGTTTAGAGGATGAAACAGCTGAAATGAACCAATAGGTCCCTTGTCGTCCCAAACCATTATGTTATGTTATAAGCTGTCCAACTGTAGATAGAAAATAATTGCAAATGAAATATATTTAAGTCGAGATACCAAATGCAAGACAGCCTGAAGATATAAGTTTAAAGTTATAAGACACTTTAATGATTTACCAGTTAAGTACTCTTGCTGTTACCAGTAACAATATTCAGATCTTTGACAAGCAAGAATTTGTCAGCTTAGCTCGAGTCTTGTGATGCTAGAGCAACTGTAAGTGTAGTATAGATTAGAGTTTTATTATGGCTTATAAATAATTTAGTGTTGAATTATGATTGAATTGTTAGAGCACCAGATAATTTAAAGTTTTTATTACTAATGATTACCTCAAATAATCTTATATAAAAGTCTATATCTGTTTCATAAATATGTTGTAAGTATTGTTACGACAGCAGAAGTCACGTGACGCTGGTAACACGTGATGAGTTTCTAGAAGGATCAGGAACATCATGAATAATCCAGTATTTGCTAGGCACCCTCTATGTTAGTATAAAAGCCAGCAAATAAAGTGATGGCGATAACTGAATTGCAGACAGGCAGAGATAGAGACAGACAATTGAGTCAAGCGTGGTAGTAAGTAAAGTGTGTGAATCATTCGTTGTGAATTATAGCGTGTGTTTAAGTTAAAGTGACTGTGGAAATTAAGTGTATTGCAAAGTTGAATTGAGAAAGAATAAACTAGTTTTTTTTTAAGAAAAGACTTGTATCGCTAAGGTTCTCGGAAACAATTTCTACAAAAAATTAACAAACGAATGCAGACGTAACAGTATTTATAGTGCATATGGTTGTGTTTTAGCAAGAATAGTAAATATTCAAATATTAAAAATGTTTCATTTGTTATATTTCATTTCTTATATTCACAACTATTATAAAAACTTGTGTTTCAAAAACAAACAAAAAATCTTATAGCCTTAGTTAACAATAAGTTGTGTACAGCATACTACTTACAATATTGATATTTTTGTGTACTGGATTTTAGAAACTATAAAAATCCTACAAACTATTATAGAAGACTAGTGTATGAAGAAACAGATCACTGAAACCATCATGTTATGTCCAACAAAAATAAATTTTCTCATTTTCCAGTCAGTGTTTCTAAAGGTATATAGGGGGTTAATGAAACTTAGATGTATGTATATAGTTTTATAATCTACTAAATTATCTATCAGGAATTATTGTGTAATAATTATTTGTGAATAATTATGCATATTTGTGAGCTTAGTACAGTTTATTAAAACAAGAAATAATCAAGTTTGTATTAAGCTGCTGTTATGAATTGTGAGATAAACTTGAGGTGTGTAGTTCAGAATTTATTGTACGATCTCTAATTAGTATATACATAGTAGCTGTTTTAACTTTAATGGTAGGTAAGGCCCACTGTTTATGCACTGATATACACTATTTTTACATTAATAATTTATCTACCATACATTGTAGATAAGTTAAGAGACACTTCCTAAGTATTTATTACTACTGTTTTTGATGTTCACTGAATATTTGTGCTATTTTCCACTCTTAGGTAGTTTCTTTAAATTCCACTACCTCTATTATACTCTCATGAAATAAATAAAATACTGACATACAAAATAGTTCAGTCAGACTTTCAAGATAAATTGGTATTCTTCTTGTTATGTACCTGTAACTTACTTTTATCTTTGTGAAATTTCACTAACTTCGAGATATTTACAGTTTATCTTTTTATTAATTAGTAGTATTGTAAGTAATTATCTGAAGCCTTGATATGTAGTAGACCACTAACTAATTTTTTTCGTTTATTCATTTTGCAGAAAAAAAGTCTCCAATCACCCACAACTTTTTCAAATATCCATTTAGCAAAAGAAACAAAAGTTGACACCAATCAACTATCAAGTTTGGGAATAATTATGTTTATAGAGAAACTCCATTTATAAGCTATCACCTTAGTGAGGGCTTACTGAATATATTTTTTATTTCTGTTTATTTATGTTATTCACAAGTAGTTGTGCTTCATCTTGTCTGAAGCCCCTAGTTCTAAGGCAAAACATCATTTGTAATCCATTCCTATAATAAGAGCTCGCTGAATATTATTTGCTGTCATTCAACATAACATTACTGACAAACATTTGTCAGAACTTGAAGAACATGGATAACTTTGTCAAAGCAAAAGATCAATAAATCAAAGCATTTAAGGCTCAATATCGTAAAGGTAATTTGCAAAAATAATAATTAATGCTATTTTGTTATAAGATGGTTATTTTTTGTATCATCCAAACTGGTTTTAGATTTGTTTTGTACTTAAGGTGTCGGTTAAAAATATTTACAGAAAACTGCTACTATAAATATAATCATTGATTCAAAGCTGTTAACTGTTTTGTCTTTATAGCAAACAGATTTAGAACCTGCTATACCATTGCTGATTCCTGGTCAACTTGGTAATACGCTGACATCAATTGTTAGCACTGATACATCAAAATCTAGCCAGCCAAAACGTCTTCATGTCAGTAACATCCCTTTCCGATTCAGAGATCCAGATCTCAGACAGCTGTTTGGGGTATGTGCATATACTGATATTAATTGATTTTACATTAATTCAATTTATGTTGACAGCTTAAGCTGGAGAACTTAAAGAAATGTAAAAATTGATTGATATTCTTGCACACACACACACACACACGTACATATAAACTAAAGGCCACTAATTACATTATTTTACATGTTTTTTATAATTTTAAAGAATTTGCTGTGCAATCACCATTTGTATTAGTCTCTGAAAGTTTTAAGTTTTACACATTACTTTAAAAAATTTTAGTCTTTCAAAGAATCTGGATAGCTCATTAGACATAGAAAAACAGTTGTATTTAGCTTTTACTGCTTTTACGTGTAATTTCATTGTTTTAATTCATGTATGCTTATTTATAGTTGAAAAATTGTAGAAGAAATATATTAATAAAATACAGTTCTGACATCCTGTACACCTTCCATTGAAACTTTGCATCAATCATCTGACAATGTTGAAATAACTGTTTCCTAAATGATTGATTAATTGTTAGAAATGTATAAAGGTAAACATACTTTATATCTTTTTCAGCAATTTGGCCCAATTTTAGATGTTGAAATCATTTTTAATGAGAGAGGTTCAAAGGTAAGTCATGTTGTAAGCATTTTAAAGTTAAAATTTTCATAAACTAATATACAGAAAAATAATTTTTAAACATCAATTAAGAAACTTGATAATAAATTAAAAAAGAAAAGTTTATATTTTTATTCTTTCTTTGAAAGAAATTACATCTAAGATAAAATTGTGATGAAATTGAATTATAGATTAAAATATTTATTCTTTTGTGCTTTAACGTATTTATAAACATATTTATTGTTTTCTTGTTCTACCTCTTGGATATTTTTATTGTGACAGAAATGTTCTATATCATTACAAATATTACTTAACAGCCAATTTTTGAGAAAAAAAAACCTTTTTTCTACCTGTTTTGACCAGTCTTTGAAAATTTATTTGTCTATTTCATTTGAACTTAAAACATTTATATTGATTGGACATTGGAACAATATATGAAGAATGAGTTAAGAAAATTTTTTATGTGCCCTTTGCTCATGGAGATATATCGGGGACAAAACCTTCTCTGTTCTGCCTCTGATTCTCCTACTTAGCAAACATTTGGATCACATAGCTCTTTATATCAGAAAATGAAGGATATTTGTTCCCATGTGGGTGGTTTAACTCTGTTGATAGCCACACCCTGATCAAAAAACACTTTGATTTCTACCTTATAGGAACCATTATATTTTGCATCATACTGAGCTTCATGTTTTGGATGCCTAACCCATCCAAGGGTAAATTTACCTGTATTTTCAAAACCTGAAATGTCAGTTATGCTAGCCAAATCAGTCACCTTACTTGATGTTGCATGTAGGGAGCTGGTAGCGTGATTTCGTGTTTATGACTCTGGGGTTTCCATATTACATTTCTTGCAACCATTTCTTAAACTCATAATACACTTTTAACCAAAATATGTGTATATGTGGACAAAAGAGACTGATGACTAAAAATTATTATTTATCTGTTCACAACCAGGTGAATTTTAGTTCTGAATGTCCTTGACACAATGGATTCATTACATGTATCACCTCACCCAAAGTTCTCCACTCTCCCCTCTTTCATGTGACTAATTGACAAGTGTCAAGGAAACAACATAAGCTCTGCCTTCCCACCACAAGTCAGATGTTTCTTGACTGTCACGCTGTAAACTTTATGCCTTTCATTTGATCTGCTCATGAATTACAAAATCAGTGTTAACCCTGATGTTAACACTTCATATAATACAGAAAATTCTACAATCTGTCAAATTGTTTGGAGACCTTGTTTACCCAGTCTTCTAATGTACAGCAAGATCTCCATTAGCTCCTTTTCATGTTCCTCACAATTAATCGTAGGATCACCTTCTACAACAGATCTTTCTTTAGAAATTCTAGGACTCCTCCCCTGATCATTCGTCAGCTCTCGTTGATCAGTGTGTATTGTGTCTGTTGATGCCAAATCTTCTTTTGTTGTTCTAGTCACATTTCCTAATTGTGTGAATGTTCAATTTATGAGACATCCTCATTTTTTCTCTTCTTGGTTAACAAGCTTGATCTTTTGTCAGAGCAGAAGTTTTCAGCTAGTTCTAATCTCAAAAAAGCTCTTCTTGTCTTATTTCACTTTTTTCTCAGGTATTTGGTAATCTAAATCTTTATACAATTTATTTTATACCTGAAGGTGTCAGTGTTATGGATACTTGTAGTCGAAACGTTGAGAATAAAAGATCCTGTCATAGTCTCATTGTTACCTTAGTGTACATTTGTCAACATGAATAATACTTATGTGTCAGTGTTATGTTTGATGATTCAGTTCCTGAATATTTGTATCTTTCACATTCTTTTAAAATTCTTGTTGTTGTCTCTTAATATTGTGGTAGTTGCAGATGCATTCTGAGGTCAGCAGAAAGGTAATGTTTTCATGTTCCTCACAATTATTCGTAGGATCACCTTCTACAACAGATCTTTCTGTAGAAGTTCTAGGACTCCTCCCTTGATCATGTCTTCTCATCAATTGTCTTTTCTACATTCTAAGAATTGTTTCATTTTGAGACTTTAACACAGTTATTGGCTATCAGCTGGTTCACCAGGTTCGTTTAATCAGGATAAGTTTTTCTTCTTTACAGTCCTCACTGTCTGAAAATCTCTGTGATTTAGTAGCTATTATCAAATGGCTTATACCTTGCATCGATGTCATAGCCCAATGGTACTCATCTCCCCCCCGTCCCCCACCCAGTATTTCATTCAGTAGACCTTGAAATGGCTTCATTTTAGCATCATTCTGTTTTTGAAGGAATTTTACCTGAATTAATTTATCATTCCATAAAGATGCACCAGGAGGAGCAGATTAGGGTTCTAGCCTCTCATGTTTTTTGCTAATCATTTTCCCCTTTCTGAGACACCTGATAAAGTAGTAGTAGTCTTCCCCCTGCTTTTCCTTCTATTTGTGATTCCAACTCTGCTGCCTTTACTCCTTTTTTTTGCTACAATAGTGTTGCCACATGTAGAAGCAAGGGGGTGGTGCTACCACATGACTCTTTACAGTTCCAGACATACCCTTTAACTGGCCTGTTGAGGAGGGGAGGGGCTCATCTAGATTTAATTATTTAGTTTGTGGGACACTTGGATTTAGAATCCTTAGGTTCAACATATTCTTCATTCCACTTTTTTACCCTTACGTTTATCTTCTCACCCGGTATTTTTTCAGCTTCCTTTTGATCTAGAGTGCCTATAAATTTTGGATCTCTTACAAAAGAAGGAGCTGTAAAATTGTTCACCACATGTCTCCAGGTTTTTCTCCTATCTTTTTTTTTCGTAGTAATGAAGAAATCAAGAGATTGAAGACCTGTAACAGATGTTTTTCATCTGAATTACTTGGAAAGCCTCCCATTTCAAAATAGAAAATATGATAATGTTAGAAACATTTCAGTTTCAAACGATAGGAATTTTAGCCTAGGGGTACATCCAGTCTACATAATTACTAGTCTTCTTCATTAGGGATTTTCCTCAAACAGGTACAGGAAAATGCTTTGCTCTCTGACCCTGGATACCCATTGAGTCAACACGTAGGGCTACATCTATGAATGTACATGTCTACCCAGCTACCTCCATACTACTTGATCACCCTCACTCCCTCTTTATATTTTAACTAAAGAGGAAATAAATATTCTGTTGAAAAGAATACCTTCCCTTCTGGTGTCCACATTGTTGCTCCAGTCTTTTTTATAGGTGGTACTTTCCACTCAGTTCTTCCTGTCCATACCATAACAATGCCTGTTTCTCCAGTTCTGGATCATGCTCAAGCTCTGCTTGATCTCACCACTCAATGTTGTTGTGATCTAACTATGTTACCTTTCCTGTCCCAGAGCTCAGCAACCAGTGTTTCAGTTGTATTTTATGAAACTCTTTGGTTACTTTCTCCATCTCGTTGTGGGTGCTTACAGTATTTCAGAGGTAAGTCTTCCTGATTCGAATATCACATTTTTAGAACTAAAATGAATATCAAGCAGTATTTACTTCTGAAATACCTTCCAACCCACTTCTCTACAACCAGGAGAAATATGTTATAACATCATAACTGCAAATAAAAAATCTTGTTTGTTGTGAGAAAATAAAGTTTATGTTGTTTCCCTGGCACTTAGCCATCAAGAAGGTGGAAGAATGGAGAATGTTGGGTAAGGTGGTGCACGTATGTCAAGGACATCTAGAACCAAAAGTCACATGGTTGTTGGCATAGATAAGCATCTGCTTGAAATTCATTTTAATTCTAAAAATGCAGACTTTTTATTTTTTTGTGCTTGTACAAGAAAGGTTAACTTGACAACAGCATGACTGATTTTCACTGTTATTCTTGTTTGGGAAAAAAATACATAAAGGGCAATTAGTTAAACTTTCGAAGTTAGAAAACATGGGTGCCTTTCTCATGAACTGGCTGTTCATAATATAATGTTTTAACAAAAAAACACGCGTGTTAACATTCAATAATGAGCAATATGAATTTATTGAATATATTTTAAATATATTACCAATTATAATGTTTTCAGCTAAATAAAGGATATTCTGTTACTGGTACATTAATGTAAATTTTTATTTTCTTGTAAAAATATGTTTTTGTGTTTAAAAATTTGCATATTTCAACTAATAAAATAAATTTTGGTCTTTGTTTTTTACAAATTAATTTACTAAATGCTTGTATTTTTCTTAGAATGAATATTATGTTTTAATTGTATAATATTATTTCTTTTACCTGATGGATAGACAGAAAAAATGTGTTTTATTTACTTGAAATTCATAAAAATTTGTAGCAACAAGTTAAAAAAAATAATATTTGTAAAAATATTTTTTTACTATGATGTATTGTATGTACATTTGATATTGTCTACTTGAAAGACCAAAGATTTTTTCTTTTATTTTTGCATATTATTAAAAGCAATCAATTAGTAAAACAGCTTTATGTGTATATATATATATATATGAATGACATAGAGTGTGTTTAACATATGTGAAATAATTGTATGTTTGTACTTTCATGTTTGAATATCAAATTTTGTTTAAGTATAATGATAATTTCAGATATTTGAATATGCATCGTGTAACTTAGATAAAAAAACTAATTCATGTCCTTAGAAGTTGAATGCTTTAGAGAACAGATATGTCTTCTAAAATGTTTTTGAAACTTTTGCTTTGTTCAACTTCATTCACTTTGTTTATTACATGATTATATGGTGTTGTTGCCTTATATTTTCTTCACTATTAGGTAAGTGTACTGTACGTATGTGGTATTTCCTTGTATGTGTATTAAAAATTCTAAGCTCAGAATAAACATTTTAGTAAATTTTGGCCAGTAACCTCTTGGCACATCATAATTTCAAATGTTGTTTCAAAAGTTGTATGAAATAACAATACATCATAAGATGTTAAAACTAAAGTAAAGAATTAAAAGTTTTTATTACAAATGACTGGCTGCACACAACGTCGTTAAAACAATCCTTTTAAAATGTTCATCATTTTTTCTAAACACTCATCATCGAAGCAATGTATATCATGGTGTTTATCAGTTAACTGCAATTATCATTTTCTAGATAATGCTATGGTAGCTCAATAGTTGTTTGAAACATCATCTAGACAAGGCTTTAAGAGGTGTTCATTAGTTAATTGAAGCATCACCTAAACAATGCTATAAGTTTGGTTCCTCAGTTAGTTGAAACATCATCCAGACAAGGCTTTGGAACCAAACTTATATCATTGTTTAGGTGATGCTTCAATTAACTAATGAACATCTCTTTCAGATAGTTGAAACATCATCCAGAAAAGACTTTAAGAGGTGTTCATTAATTAATTGAAGCATCACCTAAGCAATGCTATAAGTTTGGTTCCTCAGTTAGTTTCAGGCACTACTGATGAAGGTCTTTGGTCCAAGACATTGTTATCATTTCAGAATAAATTTACAGTGTTTTCAGTCTACTGTTGTTTATTTTTTAACGAGTAATAATATTTTCAACCGAGTCATCATATCCATAAGTTTGTTGAATCACCATCCAGAGAACGTTATAGCTATTGTTTATCAGTTGGTGCTTTATAGGCTGTAAATGCTTTAGCTAAGGGTGATCTAAGAAGTGAATTAGAAGGTTTGTATCAGATAAAAACTACACAGACAATTAGTTACCAAATGTGCGTCATGCAGCAGCCAGAATAATTTATTTAGTTCTTTAAAAATCAAAATCCTTCACGAAATTAATGTGACTGCCGTTGATTTTTGATTTTTTAGTCATTTATGATGAAATACCACTTTAGAAAGTACAGTACATTGTGTATTTTGGTTTTTTGATTTCAGTAATGGTTATTCTGTGTAATAGTTGTCATATGGAAAACTTTTTTGTATAATATTTCTTTAAAATACTCTAGTTTTAAAAACACCAGTGAAATGAATAATCTGGGTTTTCTGTAAAGTCAGTTAATGATTATTGTTTTCCACATTTACAAAAGTGTTTTTATTTTGTTCACTATTGCAGATATATCTCACTCTTTGGTTTGATACTGTCTCTGCTTACTACTAGCAGAGATATTAACGATGTTCAAATAGAAAAGCTTTAAAGCATTATTTTCTTGCTGTGCAGAGACCGATAATTAATAAAGAATTTAAACATATTGCCTTGATAGAAATAAAACTGTGACAGTGGTTCAGTATTCTTGCAGCTTTTAGTCTGAAGAATACTCATATGTAAACCTGTAATGACAGTCATTTTTGGTACAATGCTTCATTTGTTTTTCATTGTTCCATTTTCCCCTTTAACGAGCATTTTAAAATCCTTCCAGTCGAGCTGTCAGTAGCAGCTGTATATACTCTGCTATGGCAAAAATTGTCTTCTTTAATCATGTTATCACAAGTATGATAGAAACAATGACAAATTAGTTCTTACTTGTAAATTTTCTATCTATTTATGCATTCCTCATGTACAAATGAACAAGTGTATCCACTACAGTACTTCTGAAGCAAACAAATATCCCCAATATTAATCATATTGTTACATCTCTGGTCGTTTGTTAATTACCCGTAAAAATTCTTTCTGAAGAACTTCAGCGATACAAGACCTTTCTTAAATAAAACTAGTTTACTCTTTCTCAATACAGCTTTGCAATACACTTAATTTCTACAGTCACTTTAATTTAAACACACGTTATAATTCACAATGATTTACACACTTATGGCTTGACTCGATATTCGTCTCTATCTCTGCCTGTCTGCAATTATCCTTATGCTGTCACTTCATTTACCGGCTTATATATATATATACACACAAAAATAGAGGGCGCGTAGAAAAGACTAGAGTTGCCACGAACAAACATGATCCTTCTATAATCTCATGACGTGTTACTAGCATCACATGACTTCCGCTGTCGTAACAATATTGTCACAGTTAAAGATTGAAGAGAGGAGCCGGTAGATGTCTGTGTTGGAGCCATCATACAGTTTAATAAAAGAAAACTACCCCAAGACCTTAAAAAAAAGTCTTTTCACAAGAATAATTTACTTGACCAGAGTGAGTAAAAAACAAAACCTAATGACACCTGTGCACAAGGACGACTTTCATACCCCATGTTACCGAATCACCTAGAGATCCAACCTTACTTCTATAATAACTAACATTTTAGAAATCTATTAACTGGAATGGAAGAACCACCTAAAACATTTTCCTACCAGTACATGCTGTACATTGTTATTTTATTGTGGTGATCTATACACTGAAGGATATTGTGGGATTTACATGTAAATTAATGATTGAAATAGATATACAGTGACTACTAAAACCTTAAAAATTAGGCATAACAGAGGAGGAATTGCTTAGAGACTCTGGGTTAAGTGGAAGAACCATAAACAAATTAATAAAGAATTATAGAAATCTGTGTATAAAAAGTAAAAAACCATGGAACTCTGAATAGAACCTTAAGTTAAGTATCAACAGTCTTTGGATGCTTATTGACCAACAAAAACATTTTCCAAAATCTTTTCTTTTGTAGAACTGCTATTCAAAATAATTTAAATCTATTTACATAGTCAGCTTATTTAACAAAATAGTATGAATTTTCAGTAATCACCAGAGCTCTCATATTTAACAAGTTGAATTTCATTTTACTGAAATGTTGTTCTATTAACTCCTTAAACTCAAGCGGACACTGCCAGTGTCTGGCCGAACATTCCAATTCACCCATCAGACAGTGACAGCATCCAATAACATTTATGTCTCTTTGGCTGAAAACTAATCCAAACCATGTTATTATTCATCTTTTATAAATAGGCCAGAAATTTTATGAGGTATGGTGATAATTATTAGGACATCATGAAAATAATTCTGGTAGAATGCTAAAAAATGATGACAATATACTCTGCATTTCAAAGTACTAGCCTTGGATCATTTACTTTTTATCATACCCTACCAACTTTTTATTTGGTTGGTCTAATAGTAGCTATAAAGCTGATTTAATCTAGAAAAGAATGGTAGTCTGAAACTTTAAGACTACCACTTTAGTAAAAATACTTAAAATTAAAAACAGCATTATTCTATCTTATTAAATCTATTTTATTATATTAATTCATGTAAATTAATGTCATATATTTAATATCTACAGAGTAAAAAATAGTTTAAAAAAGTGCCATATCAGTTGAAGCATTAGTTAAAACAATATCAAACTCTGCAAGTAGTTTTTGCTTTCCAGTATGATTATTAATTGAAACCTACAAGAATGTGAGATATATCTGTCATTTTTGAAAGTACAGGCGAGATCTGAAGGTTTAAAAGCCTACAAAAATGTGTAGATGTTAGATTTTTTTATAAATCAAATTGTCTATTTGTTAAACTAAAATATGTCATTTTATCCAAAAAGTCCAATTCATTTTCTAAAGAATATAAATTTTATATAACTTAATAAATTGAATTGCTTGAACAGCAGTTTTTCTGTGAACATTTTCAGTATCTCACCATGTATGATGTCTATTTTGTTCAATGCCTTATATTATTATGTTTTCTTTTTCAAAAATATAGTTTGCTTTCTGGGCAAATGGTATTATTAACTGTTATTTCTCTGAGATGTTAATCTAGTTCCAACTCATCCCATTTTCTCCAACTTTTCCTAACCCTTTCCTTTCATGTTTCCTCGGTTTTCTTTTGCAAAAAAAAGCATGAAAAAAAGCATGTAACTAAAATGAAGCATAAAATCACCAAGTCAAATGAGAAGTTACAATGCTTACGTACATGTAAGATAAATAGATTTATAATTTAGTTTATCTAGACATCAACTTCTTCAGCCCATATTATGAAATTAGTACAATGAAAAAAGCAACTTAGTTTATTACGTAATTTGGCCAACTGTTATTAGGAACATGTACAAATGTCTTTCATAATTTATAAACAAACCTGTTTAATATTTTGTTTTGACTTCAAATTTGATGTGTAAGTTTTTACATTTGATCTTTTTTTTTAAAGTTCAACATTCTTGGATAAAATATAGTAATTTATAATAAACAATTTATATTCAAATGTATCAATGTTTATAAAATTTTCAGATCCTAAGGTGATGAAAAACTGAAAAGATAGATGATTATATTTTCCAAATCATCCCTCTTCTGAAGTGTTTAAATTTATTTATCTAGAAATTAGGCTTTTGCACTAACTTTTTTATTTATTGTAAAATAATACTGTGAAGATTTTAGAAATTCTATTCACTGATTATGATTATATTTTCCAAATCATTGATTGTAAAATAATACTGTGAAGATTTTAGAAATTCTATTCACTGAATGTTTTCTTTTCCTTTGTGAATAAATCTGAATTTTTCAATAGTATGACAAAAGGAATATCTGCTAACTTGGAATTCATATTAAATTTGTTCTTAATGAATGGGCTGATTCTGATTAATTATAACTATTTGTCTCAGTAACTATTTGTTTAAGACTTAATATGAATAAAATACTTTGGATGATGGTAGTATGGGGACTTTGTAATAACAAAATTTAACATTTATGTTGTAAAAACAGATTTATCACTGAATCTTAAACCCTCTTCTTTCTATTTCTGAAAATCCCTCTTTTCTTACTTTCCCTCTTTATCAGTTATTATAATATTTGGATTTAAAGCAGCTGTAATTGTAACCTTTCAATAAATAATGGTGCATGCCTGAAAGGGCAGCTTTTATCTGAATTTAATATGTGGCTATGATTTTATTGAAAAGTTTTAATGTCTATGTTCTTTGTCTTTACAGGGCAAGTTGTGTTCAAGTGCACGGATATTAATTAATGCATGTCTTTTTTTTCTTGTTTGTCTTATGCATGCAGGGATTCGGTTTTGTAACATTCGCAAGTAGCGCGGATGCTGATCGCGCACGAGAGCAATTGAACGGCACCGTGGTTGAGGGACGCAAAATAGAGGTGCATGACCTTTTACCTTTGTGATAGCACTCACTGTCCTAATGTTAGGCTTAGGTAAAGTCAGTCAGCAAAGAAATGTCCATCCTGAAATTAGTCATCTTAGACTTGTATGATCACAAACACATATTCATGTATGTAGATAATGTGTGAATATGTTTTCACTTTGAATTGAATGAATCACTGTGATTGAATCATGGCTTTGAAATAGTAAATATTAGATTATTGTGGATTTGTGTCTGTAATTTTTGTAGATACAGTATTTCCTGTTTAGCACACCAGGAAAATTAAGACTATTAATTAATGTAGCTGATTATAGTGTCATTAATTATATTATTTACTCCGTTTTTGTTTCATTTTGCATCAGGTTTTATTTTTCTTCTCAGTTTTGTAATGAATTAATCCAGTTGTATGGGTGTTGGCTTATTACATTAATGTACTTGTACATAATTGGAACACAATTTTGTGGCTAGTTGTTTCATTTATAGTTGGAGAGTGTGGTTTATTAACTTACGTAGATGGAGGTGCCAGATGTTTTTTCTGCCACATTTCTCTTACTTTTTATTCGCACTGCTTGAAACCATTAAGCACGTTTGTTTCTACGTGTGCCTTTATTTACTTACTGGATAGACATTTCTTGTGCTGATGCTGCTATTAAAGTAGATTTAAGAGTAGTAAGTATGGTATGTATGTATTTCCCTTTTTGTTTTTTATCTTAGCTACCAGCCTCACTTTAAAAAAAAATCTCTCAAGTTGTGTTCTTTTATCTTTTATCAAGGATAGCGTGACACAAACCTTTACAATTGTTATTCAGGAAGTGTAGGGGCAGGTAAGATAGAGACAGAGACAGTTCTTCCTTTACCATAGCTTTGCAATTCTAATAAAAGTCAATGCACACAAAAAACACCTGCTTGTTATGCTTATAGATTTTAATCAATTTATATATTTAGCGAAAAACTTCTGAGAGTATAAGTTAAAGCTGTCAAAGAAATGTTTTGAAATTTAGAAAGCATTCTAAACTCAAAATAATTATTAACTAGTTTCTGTTTGTGAGGCTGTAGCATTAGAATTAGGGAAATGTTCATGAAGTATTGACAGTGATCATTTGATTTCTCAAAAAATAGGATTGATATGTATTCTTTAGACTTTATGAACCATGTAAGCTTATGTTTATTACCACATTCGTCACATGTTATTTACTAATTATTTTTTAAATGGCATATCATAAACAAATAATATTAATGTTTTCTCTTTGAATGATAGAGAGATTTAAGGGACATTTCACTTCATAATAAACACGGAATACAAATTCAGTAAGGATTCAAACAAATTTAACGAAATGTATTTTAAAACAGATCAAAAGTTTTGAAATTTAGTAGTACAATTATATGATAAAATTTAATTAACAAAATATGGATTAATTATAAAAAAATACAAAATATTTCAAAGTAATTTTATCATTTACATCCATAAATCTTTGATTATTATTAACCGTGTTAGTGTTTTTAAAAAAACCAAGACCCCATCTTTCACATAAAAGCGTGCTTGTTTGTAGATTAGTAAATATATGGGTAGATTCTGATATTGCACCAATAACAACTTCCAAAAATAAGTCACTTACATTCCGCAAATCAGTAATTGTGCTATGTATTGATTTGTGGTCAAGCTGATTCGAGTCATAAATTGTGTGATATTGGCCAATGTCATAACTTCGTGGAAAGAAATTTGAAGCATTAACCCCAAAGGTTTTAATTGTTACACAAATGGTGATTGAACACAAAACAATGACACCTGGTGAAATTTTGTATTTTGTCTAATAAATTGGGAACATAAAGAATGCAATGCTGTCTTCAGACTTCTGTTTTGTTACTGTGCCACAAGTAGCATTAATTTTTGTAAGTGTTGGAAATTGATAAATAACAGTAAAATTTTAATTTTACACATTTTTGAAAGTAAATTAATCTCAATAGGCACCTTTACCTAAAATATTACTTATAAATTGTAAAACTTTTGGAATTATATGAGGTCACCTTTTTCGAAATTAGAGGGTCAGTTCCATTAAAATTTGAGTAGCACATGTCAGATGCGTCAGGTATTGCAATTTTGAGTGGTAAAACCTCTGAAGCTTCCAGGGACTGCAACCCCTGGGCCCTGCCAGCCTTGGCTGCTTTCAGGAAATTTTCATTCTGACCACTTTCATCTTTAAATAATCAACTGTGTTGCATTTTAAAACTGTGTAAGGAAAAAAACATTGGTGCTGACATGAATGTCAAACAGTTGAATATTGAAATTTAGAAATCGTCCTTTTCTAGTATATAATATAAAATGTCTTTCTGCAAAAAAGAAAATTTATGAATACTCATTTGAAAACACATATTAAAGAGCACATAGAATCCATACAAGTACCTTAAAAAAATTAAAGAAACCTTTTAATTCAAGATGATCATTCCTTCATCATATAAGGCAAATATTAGGTAGCATTAAAGTAGCATTTTTAGTAAGAATTTTTTATGCCATACAAGTAAATTTTTCAGATTTTATTTCATCCTGGAGAATATATAGTGAGATTTTATACTAGAGAAATGTAAATGTATTAGAAAATTACTTTTGTGCAAATATGTTGCAGGTATTCATGAAAACACTAATAGCCTAAAATAAAAATACACCACCGATCATGTAATTCCTGCAATAGACACTTTTTACAGTGGCAAAATAGAGTTACAAAACTTAGTGTAAGTCAGCTATCCATCCACAAGAACATACCACAGTTACTAGAGTGCCAAAATAGAGTTACAAAACTTAGTGTAAGTCAGCTATCCATCCACAAGAACATACCACAGTTACTAGAGTGGCAAAATAGAGTTACAAAACTTAGTGTAAGTCAGCTATCCATCCACAAGAACATACCACAGTTACTTAAGTGGCAAAATAGAGTTATAAAACTTAGTGTAAGTCAGCTATCCATCCACAAGAACATACCACAGTTACTTAAGTGGCAAAATAGAGTTATAAAAC